TTGACCTAGATTGAAGGTCAGTTGTTTTTGACAGGAAATTATGCAAGAAATTATTTGAAATACCGGGTAATCCACTACTGTCCAGATTGTCCGACAGTATGTCTATGGAAACTGCATCAAATGCGCCCTTAATATCCAAACAGAATAAAGCCAATTGCTCCTTGTGTGCAAAGGCCAGTTGAATACCAGATGAAAGCAACGTTAGACAATCGTTTGTTCCCTTACTCTTTCGGAAACCAAATTGCGTATTTGAAAGCAGGTTGTTTGATTCAACCCAATTGTCAAGTCTTGATAGGATCATTTCTAAAAATTTCCTCAGGCATGATAACTTAGAGACCGGACGGTAAGAATTGTGATCAGACGCTGGTTTCCCAGGCTTTTGAATAAAGTCTGTTCCATTTAGAATTTGGCCGCACAAAATAGGTCATTTCTCCAATGGGAAATAAAGTACAAAAACGCTAAAGGTTCACGAGAAAATGGCCTTACAAGGTTTGTTTACAAAATGGAGTTGAGGCCTTTTCAATTGTTGGTCTTGAGTTATTCGATGAAAGAAGTGCCATTGAATATTCCAGCATTGTGCATGGTTCATCCAGTGAACCGTTACTTCGTGCTGTATCCCGTAAAGACACTTGTGCTGGGACAGAGTCTGGACAAACCTTTTAGCGAAGTCGAATATCCATTGAGAGGAGTATTCTGCACTCTCATTGGAGGATGACCGGTTTCACATATAGCGAGCCTTTTTCTCTAGAAATTCCCTCGATAAAAGTACGCCAGTAATTTATTTTCTTTGCTTTAAGTAAGTTTTTAAGCTTTAACCGATAAAAAATCAGGGGCTCATGGATTTTCTTATGTTTCGAGGGGTGCATCGATTAACTTGGGAGCGAAGATTGTACTAGAGCGCTCAGCTGGCTCACAAAAAGTTGAGCACGTTTCTTCGGGACCTTCTGGTCTTCTTCTCTATTAATAAGAACAGAAAATATCTAATTTTTTCTGCAGTCTGCTGCAAACAACAAGAAGACTTCTTCCTTTTGCGGAAATGCCTGTGTCATCGGCGAACAAAGATTTGTGGCAACTCTGAGGCAAATCAGGGACGTCCGAAGTGAAAATGTTATACAATATAGGCCTAAGAACGCTACCCTGAGGAACTCCAGCTCTAACAGATAGGCGATCAGATTGGGAATTTGATAATTTACCTTCAGAGTTCTGTCAGCTAAATAATTTTGAACTAATTTCATAATATAGAGTGGAAAATTAAACTTTTTCAATTTAGCAATCAAACCTTCACGCCAAACACTGTCTATTGGTTAGTTAGGGCTGAAAACTGTGATCAATTTTGAATAGTTAACCATTGATAAACAACTATCATTTTCATACCAAACAAATCTTAAAATATAAACGTTTAAAACCTGACACTATTTCGTCATACAATTCATTTTGATTTGCATTCCAGTACAGGCCAGTTATGAAAGTTTAACTGATTTTTGTCGAACTATTGTCACATGATATGTAATACTTACTTAAGGCCAACGTGAAAGACTTCCATCCTGGGCGGCTGCTCGCTTTTGCCTTGACCGGGGCCCAGGTCAGATTCCTATCGACTTGCTTAATTTCCTTATTGAGGCTCCGCCGCCATGAGCCCCTGGGTCTGCCTCTGCTGCGATGTCCTGCCGGATTCCAATCCAGCGCTAGCTTGCAGATTTCGTTTCCGCCCCGTCGCAGTGTGTGGCCGACCCACCTCCACTTTCGCTCTTGAATTTCTGTTGCTATCGGCTTCTGATGACATCGACGATGGAGCTCGGCATTCGAGATCCAGTTGTGAGGCGTTACCCGTATTGATATCCAACGATTTGGTCTTGTTGACGTTGATGGTGAGACCCGCCGCAGAGGAGCGTTCGGCTAGGTCATTGAGCTTACTCTGCATATCAGAGCGCCGTTGTGCTAGTAGAGCAACATCATCAGCCAAATCGAAGTCGTTGAGATGCTCCATTGTGATAGGCTGCCAAAGCAGCCCACGGTTCGGTACACGGTCTATTGCACCTACCACGATCTTGTCGATTACGATGAGAAACAGTAGCGGTGATAGTATACATCCTTGTCTCACACCAGCGACTACCCGGATAGGGTCGGACAAGGCGCCGTTATGCAGAACTCTGCACGTGAAAGCCTCATACTGCGATTCGATGAGGTTGACGATTTTATCCGGGACTCCCTTGCGACGGTCGAAAGCTTTTTCGTAGTCATTGAATACCAAATAAAGGGACTCTTGGAATTCATTGACCTGCTCCAGGATGATGCGGAGCGTGACAATATGGTGCACACAAGATCTTCCGGCACGGAATCCTGCCTGCTGCCGTCGGAGAGTCGCGTCGATCTTCTCCTGTATCCGATTCAGGATAACTTTGCACAGAACTTTGAGAACAATACACAGTAACATGATGCCTCGCCAATTGTCGCACACAGTCAGATCCCCCTTCTTTGGGACCTTCACTAAGATGCCCTGCATCCAGTTGGCCGGAAAAGTCACGGTGTCCCAGATATTACAGAATAGTTGATGCAACATTTGTGCGGATAGCATAGGGTCAGCTTTGAGCATCTCTGCTGATATGCGATCGACCCCTGGAACCTTGTTGGATTTTATGCTTCGGATAGCTGCTTCAATCTCCTGCAGTGATGGGGCCTAGGAATTGACGCGAGTGATGCGCCGCACCCTAGGCGGATCATGCCGAGATGTTGATGGCTGGTTGGCCGTCGAAACTTGAAGAAGTAGTTCGAAGTGCTTAAACCAGCGTTTCAGCTGGTCAGTGGGGTCGGTAAGCAATTGTCCAGTCGTGTCCTTCACTGGCATCCTCAGGTTCATCCGTGCTCCACTCAGGCGTCGTGAGATATCGTAGAGGAGGCGTATGTCGACAGTGTTTGCGGCTTTCTCTCCTTCGTCGACCAGGGAGTTCACCCACGCTCGCTTGTCCCGTCTGCAAGAGCGCTTGACTTCCTTCTCTAGAGCCGAGTACCGTTGACGAGCTTCGTTCTTGGCTCCTCTGGTTCTCGCCCACTCTATCGCGGCTTTTGCTTCTCTACGCTCCTCAATCTTCCGCCAGGTTTCATCTATGATCCACTCTTTCCCCTGGGTGCGCAGCTCACCCAAGTTGTTCTCGCTTGTTTCTATAAAGGCATTCTTGATGGCTGTCCATTGTTCTTCTACGTTGCCATCTTCTGGAACGTCCGCAGCTCGAGTCTCAAGTTCTTCAACAAAAGACCTTTTTACCGCTTGATCTTCAAGTCGGCGTGTGTTGAACCGCCGCCCGAGTCTCTCCTCCCATCGCTGGATCCGCGCCATGCGTAGGCGGATTTCGCCGATTAGAAGGTGATGGTCAGACGCGATGTCGGCGATGCGTTTATTCCGGACATCAAGAAGGCTCCGTCTCCATTTTCGGCTGATGCATATGTGGTCGATCTGATTTTCGGTATGTCCATCACGGGAAACCCACGTGACTTTGTGCACTGGCCGATGGGGGAAGAGCGAGCCCCGATCACCATGTCGTTATTGGCACAAAATTCTGCAAACAGCTCACCGTTCTCACTCATTTCGCCGAGACCATGGCGTCCCATGGTGTTGTCCGTATTGTCGGAGCCGATCTTCGCATTGAAGTCGCCAGTGTAGATCTTGATGTCACCCTTTGGAACCTTATCCACGACGGCATTCAGTTGACTGTAAAAATTCTCCTTGTCCTGTAGCTCGGCGGCATCGGTTGGCGCATAACATTGGATTATGGTAAGGTTACGAACCCGTGTTCTAAATCTGGCAACGATTATCCTCTCATTAACAGGCTCCCACTTGATGAGCGCAGCACTTGCCTGAACGCTAATTAGGAGACCAACTCCACGATGGCGGGGAGCGTTTTCACCTCGAATACCAGAGTATAGTAGTACCTGTCCCGACGGCAGTTTGTGTTCTCCAAAGTTTGGCCAACGAACTTCACTCAGTTCCAGGATTTCTAGCTTCATGCACAATGCAAATGAATCAGAAAAAATACAATGGACAGCCCTATGGGGTTGTACGCAATGGTGACGTAGGTTTACGTGGTCTTATACAATCAATCTTATTCGTTAACTGCAGCAGGAGCTTGTATTTTGTGTAGGAATAGGAATTTGAGCGGGGTTCTCTCTGTTTATACTTTTTAGTATTATGCGCTTGACATAGATGATCCACAGCGACTCACGAAGAGCTACTGGTTTCGATCAATAGCGGTGCGGCTTCTTTCTCCTTCTATGGATGCCTTTCGTTGTGTGCTGGAGAACACCACCACTCACCAAGTGGTGATTGAATAAACACCGTTTGGTGAGACCGGTTGGAATTCAACTTTGAAATCTGTGTTGGGGAAATCGCCTTTTGCAGGCAAACGGTGATAGTTTTAATTATCAAAGGAACAGTTGCACATTCTTGCAATTTTCAATAGTAACACTTTGAAAAATGATAAAGTCTTAGATTCAACAGATGCGTAGAAATATTACTAATCGATTAGTGATAAAATTATTGAAACTGTTCCAGGGGCAGCTGAGTTATTAACGTTCAAAATCTTTCATAATTTGTTACATGTTCCATTTTCGGTTTTCACAAAGTGTACCCCCATATAGAAATTACAGACGTAGTCTTACGTCAAAATATAGCATGCTTTTTTAATCGGCGCATAAACTAAAGCTAATATTGAATCCTGAGCAAGGGCAGGCACACTCAGCTAGTTAAAAATATAAATAAATAGAAGACCAATCTTGCCCCACCGTACGCTACAATAAATACCCAGTATTCGTTGCTTCGTGGCGCGTCGATGCGAATTTCATTCTTACCCTTAGAATGTCCTATTGAAGAGAAATGCGGTCTTCTCCGCATTATCCCTGTATTTACTAGTGACAAGTGAAATGTGTCGAAAAAGGACTTTCTTTCGCAAGAAACACGTTATTCAACTAAGAATATAAATTTATTTATAATTGTAGTAGTAGTCTATCATATTACATACAAATTTATAACAATAACCCTTTTGCTCGTAATATTTTCATATATTACTAATATAGCTCTGTAATCGTTAATACTAATTTAATATGCAAGTCATAAAATGAGTCTATAGTGATATACCTTACGTCCTTTCGAATTGATTGAAACAAGAAATAAACAGCCAATATTTTATTTTATTCGAATGAGAAAAAAACCTCTGATAATATCAACGAAAAATACAAGTTTGGGGCTGTTCATAAACTACGAAAACAGTTTTTAAGATATGTTATACCTCCCTTCCATGCGTAGACAGTCGTTCATACTTTTTTTTTCAAATTTGTATGGATCGTAGACAGACGTCAACCCTCTTTAAACTGTCTACGTTGTTTACGAACAACCCCTTTGAACAAAACGGAATGATACGAATAAAGTGTGCAACTTTTGACACTCCAAAAATATACCAGCGAATTGAGAAAACGAAATCATGTACATGTTAAACTTCATATACTTAACCCTCCATCTGCTGATGAATTTTGACTAGATTTTTACCATTTATTCGAAATCAACTGCACTCTTGCAATTTTAATCGGAATCAGTGCCAAAAGATGAATAGATCCTATTGTGTTTTGCAGTTGAGACTGCACTCATCAAAAGTGAGATTTTACGTTGTATCGTCTTGTTGTCCTCTGCGGCGATGTCTTGTTGCCTAAATGCACCGAAGACACCCACACGATTTAACGTTAAACCACACTTTTATTAGCGTTTCCGCACTTATTATCGCACTGATAATGTGCGCAATGCGCAATATAAGGAAACCACTAATTATTTACACGCACGTGCGTTAGTGCTAGTGGAGTGTTGTTCCAATTTGAATTGTGTAGGAAGGTAGGTAGGCATATAATCAATGTACTTACAACCCCGGGGGATGCAATTTACGCTATTTCAGCAAATCGGCTAGAGGATCATCTTCTGCGGCGGCCGCAACGGTGTTCGATTTGCTAGGATTTTTGACCGTATTTTTCGTTGCTGGTTGCGATGAAGAAGATTTCGGTGCGGGTTCTGTTGAGATGACGAATTGTATGATGGGTTGGTTAATTATTTAAAAAGGTAGATACTTACTGCTCTTAGAACCAAACAGATCATCATCTTCGTCGTCGTCATCTTCCCCGAACAGGCTTTTAGTACTGGCAGCAACAACCACAGACTTCTTCGCTTCACTGACTTTCAATTGAGGTTTAGCTATCTGTTTGGATCCCCCGAAGATATCGTCACCGTCACTCTCCTCATCGGATCCAAATATGCTTTTACTTTTACTGGTGGGTTTTTTAGATGTTTCGCTACTGCTAGGTCTAACGTTTAGTTTAGGGGTTGGGGGTTTTCCATTTGTTCGTGGTTTCGAGAATATATCATCACCTTCATCAGAATCATCAAAAATGGATTGCTTTTTGAGGGTTGACGTCGTAGCAGACTTGCCTGGCTGAACTTCCTGTTGTTTGATGGGTTTAGCAGTGGCAGTGGTTTGCATTGCAGGAGGTTTCTGGATAGGTTTTGAAATCGTCCCAAATAGATCCCCATCATCCGATTCTTCATCGCTGAATAGTTTGGTGGATGTGTTGAGTTTCGGCGGTGCAGGTTGCTCCGACGTCAATGGTCTTGAAGGTGGTTCCACTATTGGTAAGATGGATTTCTTTGGTACTGTAGAATTGGTTGATCTTTTCGTTCCACCGCTGCCACCAAATAGGATGTCTTCAACTTCACCACTGTCTTCGAAAAGTTTTGGTTCCGAAAGCTTTTGTGCCAGTTCGCTGCTAAGTATTTGATCGATCTTAACATGCGCAGCGGTCACTTCTACATGTTGGACCTTTTGCTCAGAACCTACCACAACACGTATCTCTTCTTTGGGACTTTTCTCTGCCGGAGGGTAGTTGAAATCTTCATTCGTTTCGGATGCTAAATTATTCTCGTAATTTGTTCTACGGTTTTGCCTAGATGGGGGTTTTCGTTTCGTTTGGATTTTTGCACGACCTTTGTTTAAACTGGTTAACTTTGCCGTTCCGATTTCGGGTTCTTGTTGAAGCTTAGGTTTCGGTTCAGTCGTGCTCACAGAACCCTCAACGTTCGGAATATCAGGAATTGCGACACTGGATGCTACGGGTTCGTTTGCAGTCTTTTCCACCACAGCAGCGGATTGAGGTCTTCGGGCTCCTGGCAGAAGTGCATTTACGTTGATGTTAACTTTGGCGCTAAGTCTATTGACCTTCGGTTTCTCTCGAATACCTTCGTAACTGGATTCATTCTTATTCCGTTCCTCTATGATAGATGATATGCTTTTGAAAGATGCCGGTTCTTGCACCTTCGGGACAGCCTTACCATCGTCAACCTCATCATCAGGAGGTGGGCCATCACCATCCATAAAGAGATAGTGATTTGTATTGGATGAGGCTGCAGCATTACTGGAAGTTTCAGGATCTGGTACATTGAAGAAACCACCATCATCAGTATGATCAATCGCCAGCGATGAACGAGGCTCTTCGAAGTCATCGTCTGGAGGTGGGATATCGTCAAATAAGCCGACAGAGTTGAAATTTAAGGCACTCTTGTTATTGGAATTATCATTCAGTTTGTCTTCACTATTCTCTTTCAAACCGGGTGAGATGTCAGCTGAGTTCAAAGAGACGTCGTTGGTTTTTACTTTGGAACTGTTATGGCCACCTTCATTGGACTGTTTTACGATTATATTTTCCGAAGGTTCATCTGAATTGCCTACATTAGAATCTCCATTCATTAAGCTATCTTCTATCAGATCATCATGTTTCGTCTGAACCAATAACGTGGAGCTGGATGTTTCAGTAGTTCCATTAATTCTGTTGGTTGTTAAATAATAATCTATGTCGTTGGACACATCTGGATATCTTTGTCCGTGATCATCTGGAGGAGGCTCTTCCCATCCATCATCCTCTGGAGGCTCATCAGGAATTTGCGGTTTCTCGAGACCAACACCTCCTTTGACTTTCTCGATAACAGGTTCCTCCCGAAGATCAGCAACCTTTGACGTATCATTAGCATTCGTTAAATTATCCAGATTTGTCACATTTGGTGCAACGAGATCCAGAACATGAACGTCCTTTTTCTCAACCACATTGGTGGCCGAATGTTTCCCCCCAAAAAAAATGTCTTCGTCGACTTCGTCCGATTCCGAATCGAAAATAGATTTCTTCTTGAGGATCTCCGACCGAATACTGGCTTGCGCTTGGTTTAGTTTGGGTTCAACCTCATGACCGTTGCTCCCAGGAAGATCGAATGTAATATCCAGCTTTTCTTTGGAAACCTGTTCGCTTGAAGAATCCTTCAGATCCTGCGCAATGTTCCTCGAAGCCACCTTCTCCTTCCTTGGAAGTGGCTTTGGTTCTTTCTTATCTACTAAACTCGGAACCGAACGCTTTGCGCCGAACAAAAAATCATCATCATCATCATCGTCCTCGTTGGAATCCGAATCGAATATTGACTTTTTCTTGATATTCTCCGATCGAATACTTTTGCCATGGTTTGCGATGGCTTCTTTTGGTTTCACCGCTTCACCAATTTGCTGTTCTTGGTTAGTATCGTTTCTGAGTCTGGAATCAATTTGAGGTAATTTGGAACCTATAAGAGCCGAATTTCCTTCATCGTCATCGTCGAACAAATTGATCTTAGGTTTAGTGACATTCGAACTATTGCTTCCCACTCTCGCCGAAAATATATCACTTGAATCATCATCATCATCATCATCGAACAGATTTATTTTCTTTTTGGCAACCTGTTCTGCAACCACTGGGACTGATTTAGCCTTAGGCTGTTGGGAGTTCGTCGTATTGGTAACACTCTGCTTCCCACCTATCGGAGCCGGCGGTAGAACTAATTTTCCACCGGGTATTTTTCGATCAGTTCCTTTTGCTTTAAATATCTTATCAAAATCATCCTCCGGCGGGTCGTCATCGAAGAGATTTGTAACCCTCCGGACGCCCGTTCTTCCATCGGTTGCTCCGTTGATCGATCTTTGCACTGGCACGAACAAGTCATCCTCAACCTCATCCACTTCAGTACGATTATTGTTAACCTTATCGAAAATGTTCCCGACTGGTTTACCGGAAATCGTTGGGTTCGCTTTAGGGGTAACTTCTTCATCGTCATCGAAAATATTAGTGTTCTTTTTTACCGGAACCGGTAGCTCAGGGGGTTCGTTTTGATAGATGCTATTACTTTTAGACGAAGGATTGTTGTTATATGAATCGTCGTCATCGCTATCGATAAACAAGTTTATAGGTTTCTTTTGCGAATTGCTACTTATTGAAGACGTAGGCGTCGGTGCATGACTTCCATGGCTCGGGGGAGGTTCATCAGTAAACAAATTAATTGTTTTCCTCTCCGGTTGATTCCCTCTGAAGTAGGTTGGCTGATTATTTGTATTTGCAGTCACCATGGTAGGTCTATGCGTCGGAGTAGATTCCTCTTCATCCGATTCTTCAAACAGATTAGCCACCTTGCTTCTAGAAGACACGCTCATCGTATCATCCGGTGGTGGTTGATCTGGGAAAAGCGACGGCGGTCTGAATCCCGGCAACATCTGAACTTTGTGAGGATTGTTCAACAATGACCTTGCACCCGGTGGTCTAGCAACACTAGAACTGGAATGAATGGACAAAGCATCGTCTCCGGACATACTGGGATCAATCGAAGGGGCCCTTTTTCGCGGATCCGAATGCACACCCCAAACCGATCCTTCCGATTCTGAAGGCGTATGGTTACTATTGGTCTGCGACGGAAACATTCTTTCACTATCACTGGAATCAGAATACTGTTCCTTAGTTTCGGTATCCGATTCCTCGTCGGAATCAATTAAACCTGCATGCCATTTTTCCCTCCATTCCTGTGAGCCTATTATGTAGGGTAGCGGTCTATTAATGTAGGGATACTTCTGGACCGCCCGTAGGACTGTATTCCTAGCTGCGGCCTCCTCATCATCATCATCGTCGTCACTATCGCTATCGCTATCCAGCTGGACGGTGACCTTCTCGAACGATTTGTACATGTTTGCCACAGACTTCTCAACGGCCATGTGGAAAATTTCACCGTATGGCAATTTTTCGCCTTTTTCCTCCTCTTCCTCTCGAACAGAGTAAAAACTTTCGTCGTCGTCCTGGACGCGGTTCTCCACGAATTTCAACTGCTGAATGCCATTAAAGCTGTTCGATGCATTTGCGAAACGAATATGGCTCTCGTCAACCTCCAGCAGCAGACGGGTCAAATTGTCCTGGGTTTGTTTGCACTTTTCCTCGAGGTTCTGCAAAGAGTTAAAATATAATTACACATTTAATAGGATGATTGTTAGAACATCCATGTTCTAGATAACTAGATTCACGTAGGGAATTGACGATCTACATGAAGCATTGAGTTTAACTGAGACCTTTCGAAGCCTGGGTCCTCAGATAGCCTAATAAGGCATGGCATTAAAAAAATTGTTTAAAATCAATAGAGGAAATGGATATTATGTCGGCCTAAATACCCCGCCTAAATTTTCAATAGCGACCAAAAATATCCATTAGTATCGTCCCAATAACGCGTTCATCTAGATAAAATTGATAAATAGCACATTTTTAGCGATGGCCCTAATGTTAGATTCATAGGCCAACATTAGAGCCATTTCCCCTATATGGTAATTGTTTTTCAATAGTTGATCAGTGGATTCTCAAGAATACATATGGACGAGAATAATGACCACATCGAGAAGCTTAAATAAGTACTGACTATTTAATGGTAGATTGACAAACATGAGACGGACGGAAAAGTTGTGGATCACCTGTGCTACCATGGAAAGGAGAGGGTTAAATAAAAATCCACCGTGCGGCACATAAAATCACATGAGAATCCAAAATCACAACCAATAGCGGTCATATTGAGGGCCGCAAGAACCACAGTGGTTGAAATCGGCATTTTCGTGCGCTCAATTAATAGCTCCTTTATCATGAAATTAAGAGATATGGTGTCTTGACAGAAGTGTTTCAATATGTTACTGCGCTTCTTTTGATGTTTTTAGTTAAAAGATTAATCCCCCTAAAAGTGAGATCGAAAATTTATTTTTTAAACTATTCAAGATACATAATATCTTTTTTACTTTTCAAGATATGTGACGTTTATTGCCGACGGTCCCTCAAAAATGGTTTTCTCATCATAACTTTTTGGTCTACATTTTTACGGCTTTGCCATGGTCTAGTAAGTTGTAGATAATAACACAATATTGTAGAACACCGCATTGCAGTATCTTCTGTAGAAAAAAATTATTGAAGTTTTTGTAGATTTTTAGACCATAATTTATGAACTTGTAACTTAGCAGGGGGCAAAATGGGGCAAAGTACCCATGGTGCATCTGAAACTTTAATAAATTTACTTCAAAATGATAGCAAACATCTGTGAATGTAAGCGATTGTTGGTAAACTATGATTTAAATAAAATAGTGATAGCCGTGCCTAAATGTGCATGCTATTTCATCAGAATTGCCGCACATAGTGTTAGAGATATCTTGTATACATTATAATGCTACTGTTGAAATCAAGTGAGCCATGACTCTAAACTTCAATAATTTTTCTGAGTCCCTTAGCAACCATCGACAAGTGAAGTAAAATAATTTGTTGGATTATTTGTTGGACATTGAGTGGTTTGAAAGCTCTATTGTGAACACGAATTACGGTAACAGTGCCCAGTTTTCAACTGTATAAATGGCCTCCATCGGTATGTAAAATATCTCAATTTGAAATTTTACTGTCTATGTTTTGGAATTTATGCCAAGAACTATTTTTTAAATCATTCGTATATTCCAGTTGAGATCGATAAACATCATCTATTTTAAATCGCAGCGTATTCAAAGAGGTCCTGAAAGCCTATTCGATTGATTCAGACATTATGCCGGAAGTTGCTGTGGAGGTTGAAAAGTATACCAAGACTATTTGTGCTATTTTTCAAAGGCTTTGGATGAAACATAATCACACAGCTGACAGGGTGCTGCTCCACCATTTTGAGAATTTTAAAATACCGTTCAAACTTCCAGCAAACATCCTCAATATGCTTCCTTCGTCATCATCGAGTGTCCCGGCTGGGCGTAAGCCAATGCCATTCGAAAAGTGTAGTGACTCGACTAAAAGAAAGAAAACAGCATCCATTCGTGAAAACCATCAAGCAGAAGAGCTTGTATTTGCAACGCAGATGAAGCTACGCGAGTCAGGTCAGAAACATGCTGCTGATATTCTCAAAGAGGCTACGCAGACTACCCCGTCGCGGACAAGCAAAATTGCTAAATCGTGATATTTGGTAAATTAATAAATTGGTAAAACTACAGATGGGGCTGACTTTCAGCTACTTAGGCGAAACTCGTACATCCGAAAAACGACCCGGAATACATCCATTCCATGCAAAATATTTAGCTCAACAAGCTCTTTCTACACATTTTTCTTTCAGTAAATCTTGAAAGCCGTACAATTAAATTAAGTTTAATTTTTCTTCCACATAATTTTAGTTTTTATCTTCCAGTCTGGCACTTCCATCACCACTCCTGGCCATTCACTACAATCATCCAAGTGACAAGTCCAAAACACACCTCTCCCAAAACACATCACTCTCGTGCGAACAAAAGCTGCAGGTATCTCGAGATGTATCAAGCAATGATCTCGAGATGTCGACACTAGTGCCGCCTAGTGAGAGGATTCCGAACTAAAGTTTCCTCAATGCAAAAGCTCTTAGTCTCTTTAACAGCATTGCAGAAAACAGCAGCTTTCTATCCAGTAAGGATCTTAAGGTGTCGACCATGAAGTTTATAAGAACACTAGAGCCACCTAGAGAGACAATTCCGAATTAAAATGTCCGCGATTCAAAAGGTCTTGAGCTGCTGAACAACATTGCAGAAAACAGCAGCTTTATTTATAGTCGGAGAACACAAATTTCACATGAACTTTAGAGCCACCTTATGAGATAAAGAGCTAGGGGAAGTACAACTTGATCTGAAGTAATATTTAGTGTAAAAATTGTTCAAATTTATAGTTATTATAATTTTTAATATAAATATTAATGATAATAACTGTCAAGCGGAAAGTTTCAAAACAAAACAAAAATAACAGTGTAACTATAATGCATACATGCAATGACGGTTCACCGTTGTTGTTTATGTTTAACTGCAGCTTTCTGAAGTAATGAAGTAATGAAATTGGGTTGTTAGTGGAATGCTAAATAAAACAGCAAAAAAGGTTATCTTCCATTTAATTCCACTTAATTAATTTTGGTATCCATGACAGATACGTATTTCGACTACAATGTGCAGTCTTCATCAGTGTCATTCCCACTAAAGAACTTATCAAAATCTAACCCCCTTAAGTACTCATCCCCTAGGTAAAAAAGTCAAGATCATAGGTATAAAAATGAAACTACAATGTGTTGAATCGGAACCTACCTAACTAATAAAAACCAAAGATTTAAGTAAGCTAAAGGAGAAAAATCTATACAACTCTCTAATACGGAATATCCCCAAAGGCTTGGTAGCCATCATAATGAAGTAATGAAATTGGGTTGTTAGCGGAATGCTAAATAAAACAGCAAAAAAGGTTATCTTCCATTTAATTCCACTTAATTAATTTTGGTATCCATGACAGATACGTATTTCGACCAAATTTTTTTTTATATCACAGTTCCTAATGTTTTCAAAAAAAAACTGCAGAGCTCTAAGATCAGGTTCATGGATTGACCACTTTTACGGATGTTCCGGATTTTTTGAGGACCGTTCCGTTGTCTCCTGGATCCATGTATAGGAACCATGACAGTTTTTTGGCTAATTGTGAACATTTGTGCCCATTAATCTAAATTACAGATCTTGCGCCACTTGCAAAACCCTACAAACACACTTTTCTAAAAAACGTGTAAAAACTCTTTTCGCTTTTTAAAAAAGTAGACGACTCTATTTTCAATCTTTTTGCAATCAAAATCATCTACAAACCCTAGGAATTCTAAAGGTACCACAATTTTTGAAATTCATTAAGAAATGGCTAAATTATGCCATTGCAAACTTGCCGTTACACGTTTTTCGGAGGCATCGTATTCGGAGTGTTTGTTTGATCAATCCACGGCATACATAAACAAGGTAATATACAATGTAAACATCAAATTCAAATTTCGACTAATGACGTCGTTGCTAACTTCCAATAGTTTGAAGTAGAATATCGCAAATTGTACAGTGTAAATACGTTGCAGACTGATAAAATTACTTCATTTTGTTTAGTAAAAGGCTCTCATTCTTAAAATAATACATGATAGATTAAATTTAAAATATCGACTTTGTTTATATTTACGTTTGTTTACGAAAAATATATATATATATTGAAAAATTAATAGGAGTTAACGTTGGCTCTATAAATTAAAAAGTAATGAATGTTGCTTCAAAGAGCGATCCATCCCTGGTGAGAAGAACTCCAATGGCGGTAAGCTCCAACTCGGATTAACTTTTAATACCGTCCCTGTTTGGATGATCTGCTTAATGTTAGCTTAGAGTCATGTTGATTAACTCTGATGTCGACATCAAAACAGACGAACTTTCTTGATCGAGATTTAATCCGAGGATAATACCGGTTGGAGCTTACCGCCACAAGTGAATTTTCAGGAGAGTTAAGAGTTGAATTTTTAGGTTATTCTGAGGAAAATTCCATGACGATTGTAAAACAGGATTCCTGGTCCATTTCTAATTAATATTCTAAATAAAAATCTATAGAGTGCTGATGATAATTCCAAGGAAACTCAGAGCATTCTGAGAATAGTTCTAAAATAAGTAAATCAACCATAACATTTTTATTAGAGTAGCCTGTTGGTCCCAAGTACATCTATATGATGATGATGATGATGATGGTCCCACCCCTACACAGGTTTGAGCTGGACGATTTATCTTTAAGATAATTCTAGATAGAGCTGGAATTAGGGCCAAACAGCTTTTGTAAACAATGACTTCTCTTGATGATTTCTAGAAATGTTACGCCCTAATTCCAGCTCTATCTAGAATTGAATGTAAACATTTTAAACAGGTAAGCGAAAAAAACGAACTGGTTACAGTTACAGATATAAATTCACAGAATTTACATAAATTCATAAATTGCTTCACAGCGTTATAAATGTGAAAAAGTTTAGACGTCCACCTCTTAGTTCACCTTGTTGTCCACCTAAAATATTCATAAGTATTAATGAACAATCAACAAAGCATCCTATTACACTACCAGCCCCGCAATCTGATGCTATTATGATTTTCAGCAATGTCGGAAATGCTCACGAACTCCTGACATTCAGCGAAAAAACTTACTACTAACTACTCAAGGTATCTTCCAAATAAGCTTCAAAGTTGTATTTTTTTTCAAATGTTAAATTCAGTCCTTTATATCCGTAATAAGCGCTCGAGGCTCATTATAGACTACTCAAAAAATTACTACTACTATTAAATCAAATATCAATAATCCATCATCACCATCGTGACAAACAAAATAGTTTTTGCAGTGCTACAATAATTATTAAAAAGTCGTTATAACTGCTATATGTACAAATTAATCCGTTAAAAATAATATCGTCAAGATACATAATTTGTCAATTCGTAAAAAAAAATCACTGGATAACCGTTCAAAAGACAGTTTTAACGTGTGAAATGCAATGTATCTTAAATTCTGATAATGTTGTTGCACGTTTAATGTGTCTAGGCATCGAATTGAAAACATTTATCCCTTTAAAAAATAATGAATTCTGTGAAGCACAAGTCAAGAAATATGGTGTTCTTATTTCATCCGCGTTTCTAGTATTATATCTATGATAATCACTTCCTCTATCAATTCGATCACACAAATATCGAGGCAGCAAACCGTTAACTACTATAAAAATGAACACCATCGTCAAATATACTATTCTTTGCTTCACTTAAAACCATTGTAAAGCGTTCAGCATATAAGCGTACCCCATTATAGTCGAAATTCTAGTACTACACTATGTTTGCTTTGATTCGCTAGTTTGACAGATAAAATCAGGGGTTCGTGGATTTTCCTATGTTTCGAGGGGTGCATCGATTAGCATCTTAGAGTTATCTCTATAGTTCAGTCCCCTCCTCTATATTAAGCCAACGTGACGTGGCATATTTTTAACCAATTTTAAAAATACATTGTCGCTCACAAATATTACAATTGAAGAAGATACAATTGTTATTGTTTCTTTGAAATTCACGTGGTCAAACGCGTACGTATGTACGTAACAAACCGAGTCAGTTCAAGTTGGTAGAACTTGCTCGGACAAAATAGTGCTAGCTGGATCAAATCAGAGCAAGGGCATAGCCTGGTTTCGAGCTAGGAAGGGGCGACAAAAAAATCCTAAAAAAAATTTGACCGAATGCAATTTCACCGAACACTATTTCCCCGAAAGCCTTTGTGTGACTGAGTTTAGGAGGGGGGATAGGCCTTCTTCTGGCTACGCCTATGAATTGGAGTCTCTTGTATTTGGCTCTTAATCGCTTTTCTCTTCGCATTACTACAGTAAATGATGTATTAGCTAGCAAAAGCATCATCGAAAGCACCAAAAAATGTTAAAACTGCCAAGTTATTAACAAAAGAGAAAATCGATGAAGGAATCGATCATCGCATTAAGACCCTTATTATTCTGCACACTAGATTTTATAGGAGCAGACATGTGTGCCTTTCAATATAAGGCTTCTTTAGGAGATTCACCTTAAGTTGAGCCAAGCGTTACGTTTTAGTTGGGAAATAAATTGCCAATAAATAGAAGATACTTCAGCATTCAAACAAGCTTTACCTGTACAATCCACACCTTGGTAGAGCAAAACAAAACCGAAAATAGTTTTTATGTAGCTTCCATTGGAAACGCACATGATTTTCATCAATAATCAAAATTAATGGAATTCATCTGAATTTCATATACCATTAATGCGATCACATGAATTTCGCTCGGAATTTCGTATGATTTTTCATATGAATTTCATCGGCCTCATAATATTCATGTGTTTTGTGATAGGATTTGCTGCTATGTGATCACAGGAAAGTTATATGAAATTCACATAGATTTCATTCATTAGATATGTGATAATTTTTTTTATGAGTGATGGAGTGTTCAACGATGCCAGATTTACAGACATTTGTACACGAAAAAAGTGAGCAACATCTATTTGAACCCTTGTAACGCTTGAACCCTCATTATAATAACGACTAAAAACTGTTTAAATAAAAAATAGTTCAAAACATTAATTAATTATTGCATTAATCGTAGTTTCACGAAATATTCTATTTGATATTTTATGAATAAAATAAAAAAAGGGTGACCACTTATTTCATCCACACAAGTCTGTAAATCTGGTATGTTTGGGAGTGTTCGACGATATGCCAAAATGAAACATTGAGTCATGCTCGTAAACTTCAATCGTTATCGTTATTATCAATGGAATAATATTACTGATAGCAAACTCAGTCAAACTCATTCAAGACAAACATTTGACTAATTTGTAATCTAACATCATATAAAGTAACTTAAGCGTTCGGCATCATAAGGGCCTAACTGCGCTGATCGGTTATCTTAATCGATTTTCTCTTTGAATTACTACAGAGTTAAGTTAACGAATATTCCGAAATTTGCCAATATAGTGCCGTAATAAGTTGCATTTGCTAGTAACAGCATCAACTAACGCACCGAGAAATGTTAGTCCAGCCGAGTTAACAAAAAAAGAGAAAAACGATTAAGATAAAGATAGGCCCTTATGATTCTGAACGCTAGCAGTTATCTTAACAAGTCACTTACCTTTGAGATTTGCACCATATACTGCAACAGTTGTCCATCTGATTCGAGTGACCACTGGGGAATACGCTCCCGCAACTCATCCGGTGTCAGTGCCTGCAAACAAACAGGCAAACGGGAGACAGTGAATGAAACAGCATCGAATCAACCGCGTAGTAACAAAAAAAAGTGCTGCATCAGCCTTTTCGTATAGCAAACAAACTGATCGGCAAACAGCAAGTTCGGTACTAACTGTATCGCGTGAGTACGATCCAATCTACAAAAAGAAAGCACTACACCGCTCTGCTTGGTAAACAACTGGCCGAAAATTAATTCAACAACAATATCAATCTATTAAGTAGGTTCCTCAATGTGCGCAATACCCTGCACTAGGTAGCGATTTCCGCTCAGCTGAACATTTGGGGGATTAGCGTATTGCATTGTATTAAAAATAAAAATGTTTTCTTCGTATTTGCCGCTGCTTTCATTCATATATGATTAGAGATATATGGAGCCCTCCTCTTTCAAGTTGAGCTGTGAGATTCAATTATGGCCTCCAAGCATAAATCAATTTGCATTAGCCCGTTCATCGCTGCCTCAGCCAACGGAACATGCTGATAAACGGCGCCTAGACACGAGGCGGCTCCAAGCATCAAGAACAAGAATTTCACTGATTTTAATGCTCCATCGCAGCACTAAAAGAATGCGTAATCCGAGAAGGGCATCCTTATCAGTGCTCGGAGGCTGTTTCTGCTGCCATCATCACCTTATGCTGGAAAAAGCGGATGCAAGCCAGACTATTTGAAGCTGGAGCGGGCACATACCATATTTGTAGGCGACTTTCAGTAGATTCGTTGTCCTGGAAGCGTTTCCCTTTGGTGTTGGGATTTAATTTGCCAATTTGCAGGATCAATTTGGCAAATTAATTAACATTTTTCGCAGTTTATTTACTTTTCACTTGCACTGAATCACAACAATAAAAAATCTACACTGACTGGGTGGGTGACAGAGGTTTCCCGAGAGACAAAACAAAACGAACAGAGTCGAACTTGGTGACAGGGAAGAAAGGAAACGGTAAAGTTGTTATGTGCGTTACGATATGATTTGTGTGCATTAAATCTTTGGCTGCGTTCATATTCATTTTGTTTTGTGCAAAACGTCAAAAAACATTGATTCCATTTGCAAATCGATCGATTCTTGGCTGTGCTTATGATTTTTTTTTGAAAAACTCCTGGTATAAGTAGTAAAACCAAGAATTTAATATGCTGCAAGAATACGAGGATGATTATTTCCTCGAAGAGGATAAAATGTAAGTAAAATAATGTTAATACTTGGTTCAGATGGATTTTGCACGCAATATTTTGGCAGTGGGTGTTTTGTCTTTACTTATGTTCGTTAACATTATTAATTTGATTATATATTTCTTTATGTTCGTTGTTTCTACTACTATTATTGTGTATTTCTTAATATATAAGGACACATTTTAGGTTTCTTTCCATTCTCGTTAACATATGGTACATCTATTTTACACAAGCATTATTCACGCATGCCACTTTCTCTCATTGTTTTGTTACTGTTTGCAATATACGAACGCCCGCGCGATCGCCAGAAGCATCACTTGCAAAGGGCAAGATCCGTCCGCCGAACAAAGTTCAACTCGTTGCGATCAAATCGCGAGCGAGACTTCGTTGCTTCTCGGAATAGATAGTACCGATTCGATACTAGATACTAGCAGTAGGACGACTAAAGAGTGAGTAGGATTGAAGACACCTTCAATTTTAATTCTAACTGTTATCTGTTGATCGCTAATTTTTGGATACTATTTCGGCCCTTTCATTTTGCCATTATCGAACGTGCGCGTTTTTACCATAGACCTGTTGAAGGGGACGGCTCAAACAGCAGCAGCACCGGACAGGGTAGAGTCAAGGATGAGATTGCATTCGTCTCGAACAATGATCTACCGGATCCGGTGCTGTACGCCGATGGTTGTGTCGATGATTCCAAGATCATTATGCTCTGTCAGAAGCAGGAAATGGAAAGACTGTAAGTTGGTAGACCGGTTTGATGAGTAGCAAATCGCTTGGCTTTTAATTAGCGCTAGATTTGGTTACAGATTGTCTATGAGTCCTTGTTACAAGATAATGAAGTGAGAGTTATGTCTATAAGCTACGAGGTTTCTGTTTTGTTTTTAGCTTGATTTCTGGGTGATTTTCACTGTCTGCAATGGATCAAGTGATCCATCATATTGCTTGATGTCGCTTTTTTGTTTGACGTTGTTCAATTCATTAAGATCAAAATTAACAGAAAACTCATTTTCACATTCCCAATGACTAACACAAACTAATGAAAAAGGGGAATGACCGTCAGTTCTGGAACGGTGGTCGTTAAAAAGGACACCACAAATTTGATTGGTATAAGCATAGGTGGAGGAGCCCCCCTCTGTCCCTGTCTATATATAGTTCAGGTTTGTACTAATGTTTCGTATGTGATTGACCGGCTTCTTATATAGCAAATTGTTTCCATGTTAGGTATTCGATGGAACTCCAGCGGCTCGCGAAGGAACACTTCAGAGTGGCGATGAACTGCTTGGCGTCAACAGCGTATCAGTCAAAGGTAAAACCAAAGTTGAAGTCGCTAAAATGATACAAGCGGCCACCGAGGAGGTCACCATTCACTACAACAAATTGCATGCGGATCCGACTCAGGGCGAAACATTGGATATCGTTCTGAAAAAGATGAAGCATCGATTGGTGGAGAGAATGTCCAGCAGCACCGCCGATACCCTGGGACTATCCCGGGCAATCCTGTGCAATGATTCACTGGTCAAACGCCTACAGGAATTGGAACGTACCGAGGCGATGTACAAAGGACTGGTGGAACATGCCAAACGGTAAGAACCAACTATAATCACTCACACCTACTAATTACATGTTCATTTTCAGAATGCTGAAAGCCCATTTCGACGTCCTACAAACGTACCAATCGTTTGGCAACATTTTTGCAGCGATTAGCGTCCGCGAGCCGCAACCACGAGCCTCGGAAGCATTCCGCACCTTTGGCGAGTTGCATCGAAATATGGAGAAAGATGGCATCAAGATGATCAAAACGCTGAAACCCATTCTGGCCGACATGGGTACCTACCTGCATAAGGCTATCCCCGACACCAAACTGACCGTCAAACGTTACGCCGATGCCAAGTTCTCATACCTCTCGTACTGTTTAAAGATCAAAGAAATGGACGATGAAGAGCACAGCTACGCTGCCATTCAAGAACCGCTGTATCGTGTCGAAACGGGGAACTATGAGTACCGTCTAATCCTCCGCTGTCGCCAGGAAGCCCGTGTAAAATTCGCCAAGCTACGCAGTGACGTTCTGGAGAAAATTGAGCTTCTCGAGTGCAAACATGCCCGCGATCTGGCTTCCCAGTTGAGACAATTCATACAAGGTCTGTCAACCCTGGCAACGGAAACCGTCGAACGGCTGGAATCCATTCCGAATCTCTTCCCCATTGAGGTGGATCTGAAACCAAGTGCGTTCCAGTACAAGTCAGCGCTGAAATTCCAACCAGAAGAGGAAGTGGAAGAAGAAATCCACCAAGCCGAGGAAGCAGTCGAAGCATCCGTTGGGCGAGGTGCTAGGAACGAAAATGGATCCACCAACAATGGGGGTGCCTCGATCGACCAGTTGCTCTCTGGATTCGAAGAAATTGATTTGAACAAAAGCTGCTGCACCGGAGCAGCCACTAGTGACAATAACGATCTGCTAACGGAATTGGGTTTGGCGGATATCGATCTCTCCGTGGGAAAACCACCGATGATAGGGACAAACCTGATGGATGATCTACTGATACCGGACCTGGCGGATTTCGGTAAGTGAAAGCTGGTTTTCTGTAGCTAGACGTGGTATTGGCTTATTCTTATTTATTTGTGTATCAATACATATATCTAGTCGTGTTGAGAAAGGTCGTTGACAGTGATTGGAAAGAAATGTCCATGTTAGCGTTCAAAAATCTACATGAATTGTATGTTCGTAGAATGGAATTGTCACACTGGCAACTATATTTTTTAATTACTGTTTAACAATTTTTATTTTTATCTGAAACGCGGAAGTTTTCAGATTTCTGTTGCTATGGAATATTTTCAAGTCTTGAAAATATTCTTAAGATTCTGTCAGAAATATTTAAAATACCAGACTGCAAAAATGTTAGGACTTGGAAATGAATTTTAGAACATGTTCTTCGTTTGAAATATGAGCACCCGTTTCGAGATGTATTGCAGCAAAGTTTTGTGGCACAGTGTTCAAACGGTTCTAAATCGGATCCTGATTAGCTTTCCAAAATTTAAACTCATTTGGTAAGAAAATGATTTGAGACGAACCATTTGAATTTTATATGGAAATTATTTTTTTTCTATCTGTCTAATAATTCACCATTTCGCTCTTCTTTAAAAATGATAGCTGTGCTTGTAAGAAAAAAAATCAGCTACAACTTTGTTGAAGATCAGTTTTTGATAAAATGTAAATGTCACTTTCTTCAACGTCAGCTGAATGTATTCTCTAGTTGGTGCAGTTTAAACGGAATGGTAGTGAACCCAGTCAAATGCTCCGCTATTACGTTCTCACGAAAACAACAACCGATAATATTTAGCTATGACCTGCTTGGCTCGACAATCGAACGCGTGAATCAGGTGAAAGATTTTTGTGTGATCTTGGATTCGTAGCTATCATTGAAGCAACACATTGCATATGTTGTCGATAAGGCGTCTAGAACTTTAGGTTCATTTCAGGATAGCTAAAAACTTAATCGACATCTACTGTCTAAAATCTCTCTATTGTCCGCTTGTTCGCTTGAGTATTATTCATCGGTTTGGAACACAAAAACTATTACAGCGGTGCCGAGAGAATCGAATCTGTTCAACGTCGCTTTCTTCGTTTTGCGCTACGTAGATTGCCTTGGAATGATCCCTTTCGATTACCCTGTGACGAAAACCGTTGTCAACTTATCGACCTAGAACCTCTCCGGACTAGAAGGAACACAAGTAAAGCCCTTGCCCTTACGCCGATATCCTGCAGGGAAGGACAGATTGCGAGGCTATCCTGAGGTCAATTGATCTGAATGTTCAACCCCGACCGCTTCGCAACAACTTCATGCTAAAACCTCGTACAGACTATGGCTTATATCATGTAATATAGGTTGTCTTGCAATGAGCACTCATACATAGGATTTCCAGTGAAAACAAGATGTATGAGTGTTCATTGCAAGACAGCCTATATTACATGATATAAGCCATAGTCTGTACGGGGTACAAAGCTACATATAAAGCCCCAATGATCAGTCCGCATCGTGCTCTCTTGCCGTGCGGATCTATTTGCTTTTTGCTGAAGGAAGTGTTACTACTACCTAAAGCTACAACAAATTTTAACAGCACTTTTCAGTGCTCAACCTGTAAAAATTTTCTACCTTGTTCAACTCTTATTCCTCTTCGATCCTTGTTTGGACCCTACCCGAGGTAATCCTTCTTGGATATCGATTTGGAAAATTCCTCTTCGATCCTTCAGATTCTTATAGTAATCTGCTTGGAAGTCGATTTGGATAAAAATTTACTGCCGCCATGGCGCCTAAACGCAAAAGAAAGGGGCAAACTCTTGACCCCCCTTCTGATGAAATTAATTTGAGTAATCAATTTGATTTGCTCACGGATGATGAGAATGATCCATCATCCAAGAAAAATTCTAGTAAACTTTCCCGGCTTAATGCCAAGAAGGAAAAGATTCCCCCTATTGTGATAACCACTACCGATTTCCATGCTCTTCGCATGGAACTTTTGAATTTCGTGAAAGTTAAGTTTTCACTACAAATTGGACGTCGGGGTGAATGCCGTGTATTGGCTGAAACCTTGGATGGATTTAAATGTCTTCTCAAGTATCTTACTGAGAAGAAGCACAAATTTTTTACTTACGACACCAAAACTGAACGTGTGTTCAAGGTTGTCATGAAAGGACTGCCCAGTGGTGAATCCCTGGATCAGATCAAAGATGAACTGGCAAAATTACTTGGAGTTGTGCCACTCCAAGTAATCAAAATGAAAATGAAATCCCGTCCTGGCGATTCGCGCAACGGGATTTCTAATGATTTTTATTTAGTTCACTTCAAGTCTAGTGAACTAAACAACCTTAAGGCCTTAGAAAAAGCTAGCCTTATGCTCCATGTCCGAGTGAAGTGGGAACACTTCAGGAAGACTGGAGGAAATTTCCAAAACCTCACCCAGTGCCGTAAGTGCCAGGGATGGGGTCACGGAACTAAAAATTGCTACATGCCAGCTAAATGCATGAATTGTGGTGATTCCTCTCACGCAAAGGACGACTGTCCTGTGAAGGAAGATCCTAAGAAATTTAAATGTTCAAATTGTGGTGAAAACCACAAATCCAATTTTTGGGAATGTAAGACTCGCAAAGCGATCCTACAATCTCGTTCTAACCGTCAGGTAGGAAACGCTCCACGTTTCCGACCAGGTACAAATTCCTCTGCTGTTAACAACGGTCAGCGAGGAACAAATTCTACATTCGTACCCGTAGGTACAAATATCTCCCCTGCTTCAAATGTTTCATCTGTACCTACTCCCCTCGCTGCTAACAATGTTCAGCGAGTTAATGGAGCTACCTATGCTGCTATTGCAACGGGTAGAAATCAAAATACTAACCAACGTTCTAATGGAAATTTTGACAATTTTGACTTAGGAAGCATTACTGCCCCCAAAATGGAATTTTTACAGAATTCATTAATTGACATGATTTCTGATATGCTTAAATCTAACTCCATGTTTGATGCTATTCAAACTGGAGTAAAATTTGCAAATAATATTGTCATGACTTTAAAATTCAGTAATGGATTTTAAAGCATTAAATATTGTAAATTGGAATGCTCGATCTCTTAAAGATAATGAAGACGAGCTATTTAACTTTTTAAGAGTTCATAACGTGCATATTGCCGTTATAACTGAAACGTTCCTTAAACCTGCCCATAAGGTTAAGAAGGACGCAAACTACTTGATTTATAGAAATGATCGTCTTGATGGACCCTGTGGTGGCGTTGCCATCATTATTCATAGACAAATCAAACATAAAATTCTTTCTTCATTTGAAACCAAAGTTTTTGAAACTTTGGGGGTTTCTGTTGAAACAAAATTTGGACAACTTACGTTTATAGCTGCCTATTTGCCATTCCAATGCGTAGGCCAGCAAAAGAATTTTCTCAAGGGTGACCTCCAGAAACTTACCCGTCATAGGTCTAAATTCTTCATTATTGGTGATTTTAATGCAAAACACCGCTCATGGAATAATGCTCAAAGCAATTCTAATGGTAATATTCTGTTTGATGATTGTTCTGCAGGTTATTACACTATTCAATATCCAAACAGCCCAACATGCTTTTCTTCTGCAAGAAATCCCTCCACTATTGATTTGGTCTTAACTGATTCATGTCAACTTTGTAGCCAATTGGTTACCCATGCTGACTTCGGTTCTGATCACCTTCCAGTAACTTTTGAAATATCCCAAGAAATAATTTGTAATCCCAACAGCTCTACTTTCAATTACCATAGAGCTGATTGGGAGCAGTATCGAACATTTATGGAATATAACTTCGATCCAAACATTCCTTTGCAAACCAAAGATGAAATTAATTATGCTCTTGAATCTCTGACTACTTCTATAGTTGAAGCAAGAGCTGCCTCAGTACCAAAATGCGAGGTTAAATTCGATTCAATTATAATAGACGATGATCTTCAGCTCTTGATCCGTCTTAAAAATGTCCGTAGGAGACAATATCAAAGAACACGCGATCCTGCCATGAAAGTTATCTGGCGGGATTTGCAAAAACAAATTAAAAAGCGATTCTCTGCCCTGAGGAACAAAACTTTTGAAAATAATATTTCTAAATTAGACCCGAGTTCCAAACCCTTTTGGAAACTCACAAAAATTTTGAAAAAACCTCAAAAGCCTATTCCAGCGCTTAAAGAAGGTGGTAAAATTTTGATCACAAATTTGGAAAAAGCTCAGAAACTTGCTAAGCAATTCGAGAGTTCCCATAATTTCAGTTTGGGTCTTACTAGTCCTATTGAGAATCAGGTTGCTCGGGATTTTCTGAATATTTTCTCTCGGGAAAATATTTTTGATGATTCCTGGGGGACTGATTTGGACGAAGTAAGGTCTATAACTAAAAATTTTCCAAATATGAAAGCTCCAGGTGATGATGGAATTTTCTATATCCTCATCAAAAAACTCCCAGAGAGTACCTTGTCTTTCTTGGTAAAATTATTTAACAGATGTTTCCATTTGGCATACTTTCCTGATAAATGGAAAAATGCAAAAGTTGTTCCAATTTTGAAGCCGGATAAAAATCCAGCTGAAGCTTCTAGCTACCGTCCAATAAGTTTGCTTTCTTCAATAAGTAAACTTTTTGAAAAGATAATTTTGAATAGAATGATGCTTCACATCAATACGAACTCAATTTTTGCAGATGAGCAGTTTGGATTTCGCCATGGGCATTCAACTACTCATCAACTCTTAAGAGTTAACAATTTAATTCGTTCAAACAAATCTGAAGGCCACTCAACTGGAGTTGCTCTTCTAGACATAGAAAAAGCATTCGACAGTGTTTGGCATGAAGGTTTGATTGCTAAATTGAAAAAGTTTAATTTTCCACTTTATATTATGAAATTAGTTCAAAATTATTTAACTGACAGAACTCTTCAAGTAAATTATCAAAATTCCAAATCTAATCGACTACCTGTTAGGGCAGGAGTTCCTCAGGGTAGCATTCTTGGGCCTATATTGTATAACATTTTCACTTCGGACCTCCCTGATTTGCCTCAGGGTTGCCACAAATCTTTGTTCGCTGATGACACAGGCATTTCCGCTAAAGGAAGAAGTCTTCGTGTTATTTGCAGCAGACTTCAGAAAAGT